GAGGGGGAGGGGAGGGAGAGGGGGAGGGGGAGATTGAGACTGACTTACCCTGTAAATATGAACCCTCCCCTTTGAGGTCTGAGCATGTCTAGGACAGAAACTTATAGGTGGAGGAAATATAATACAGTGGTTCAGAATAAGAATTCTGGAGCCAGAACGCCTGGATTTAAATTCTGGCTAAACTGTTGTGAAAAAGTGACTTTTCTGAAACTTAGTCAAGGTTCTGAGTTTGTAAGTACAGAGTAGCTGCCAGCAAACACTGTCTTCAATGATTTTTTGGTAGAATTTTGTGGTACTGGGAATTGAACCCAGGGTGTTATTTATACTACATAAGCAGTGTTCACACTAAGCTGTATTCCCAGTCCAGCCCTAGGTAGAATTATTAACATCCTCCCAATCCAGACCCAGAAACTATGATGCTCCCAGAATAGAAAAGTGTTTGAGACACCTTGTTTGCTGGAGTTCCCTGAAAATGCCCTTACCTCTCTGTCTTCCCAGGTTTTGTCCAGCAAGCTGACAGGACATCCATATTAGCAGAGAAGGAAGAGGATCAGGCAGTTAACAGAAGCACACCAGGTATCAGACAGCTGGGTACAGCTATTCCCTAAAATGTGACATTGCATTGCCACTGTTTTGTTCTAACCATTGCTGAGGTTAAACTGTAACTTCCCACCTTGACCTGGATCATGCTGCCTCCCTTATTCATTTCTTTTTTTTTTCTTTTAATTTTTTTTTTAACATTTATTTATTGTGTGTGTGTGTGTGTGTGTGTGTGTGGCCAGCTCAGCCCACCAGGGGGCGGGGCTGGCTGGCATGTGGTGCTGGGGGATTGAACCACGGTCCCTGTGCTTTGCTAAGCTTGTTCTAGGTAGGTGCGTTAGACCACTGAGCCATCTCACCAGCCCCCAGGCAGGTGCTTATGCCACTAAGCTTCAACTAACATTTTAAAAGGGTACTATGATACCTACTCCATCTGCTCACCCAACTCCTGTGGCACTTACTTAGAGCCCTTTCAAGCCTACTTCACTGGGGATGTCAATACACAGAGACAGGCTCTGGCACCACACTGCTTGGGTCTTAAGTTTGAAAAATTCTATAATGTGTTCTATGTGTGACCTTGAATACATGACTTCACCTTATTGGGTCTTGATGTCCTTATGGGACTATTGAAATTATAATAAGGATTACATGAGATATCTGAAAGTGTTTATAAAAGTGTATCTAAGGGATGGGACTCAGTAGAACAAGTGCTTGTCTGGCAAGTGCAGGGTCCTGAGTTCAATCCCCAGTACCGAAGGGGAGTGGGGAGTGTATCTAGCAGAGTCAATGTTCAAAAATCTTATTTGTAGTATGTACACGAACTTAAAGATTCCTTAGGAACAAGGTGGTAAGCTGAGACCAGATACGAAAACCCAGGGTGAACTAGAAGGAACTTCATATTACAGTTTCTGTCTTCTACCAAGGGGTCACAAACACAAGGCCCTTAGAGGCCAGACAGGTATTAAAGAGGGTTGGGTGGGGTACACATACAGAATTTATTGTTGCTTTCTATGTTTTGAGACAGGGTCTCACCATGTAGTTTAGCCTGGTCTTGAGCTCACCTTGCAGCCCATGCTGGTCTTGAACTCACAATGATCCTCTCCTGCCTCAGCCTCCTGAGTGCCAGGATTACAGGCATGTACGACCATACCTATCCCTTGTAGCACTAAATTTATAGTTTCTTTTCTTCTTCCCTTTGAGATAAGGTCTTGCTATTTGCTTAGACTGGCCTTGAACTTGTGATCCTCCCATCTGTTTCCCAAGTAGCTAAGATCATAGCCATCTGCCACCACACTTACTACCAAACTTACTTTATTTTTTTACCAAACTTATTTTAAAACACAATAAAATGAAACCAAAGCATGGGTTCAATAAAATATGTGAGTAGGTCAGATTTGGCCCTGGGAATGCTAATCCACAGCCTCTGCAATGCCTCATAAAGCTGACATCTAGTGACATCACAGAACCTGCCTAAGGCCACAGAATAAGAGAAGACAGCCCAGATTGACCATTTTCAAGTAGGCATGGCCTCTTGGGATACTCTCACCTGTGTTTGCGTTGCTCCCAATACTGTTGATGGCTGGCGACACTGAGCTGGATGGGTGAAAGGGCACGTGTCCATTTTCTCGGGGGGGCTTGTCCTGCCAGCCTGGCCCTGCCTCTCCAGGGCCCAGCTCTGTAGGGCCCCCCCACTCATCAGAGCCCTGTCGTGAGTGGTAGGAGGGCTCTGCCCTGGTACGAAAGCCGCTAGCCAGTCGCTCTTCAAGGTGGCTCAGCCAGAGGGCCAATGCGTTGCGGTCCTCCAGAGTGGTGGCTGGGTGGATGAGAGCATAGGAGAGCAGCTGGCGGCTTTCCTCGATGAAGGCATTGCTCTCAATTGAGTAGGCCAGTACTTTCTGCAGCAGCCTCATGTACTCGGACTTAGCCTCTGTGTTTCCTGGCTGAAGCAGAGGCAGGTGGGACAGCAGGAGGGACACCACTTTCTCTTTGGATTCCTGTTGCCACTGGCTGACGATAGCTATGAGGGTAAGAAGGGATGTCAGTAGAGGCTGGGTAGGGCTTGCTATAAACCCGAGAGCTCCCCTGGTCTATTCCCTCAGCTCTAAGCTCCTCTCTCTGATTAAGACTCCCAACCTAGTACTTTATACATAGCCAGATCAAACATACTTTTATTGTTGTTTTGAGAAGGTCTTGCTACACAGTCCAGGTTGGCCTCAAACTTCCTGCCTCAGCCTCCCAAATGTGGATTACAGGCATGCCTCATCATGGCTGGCTAAATATCCTTCAAGAACAATTTTTCTTGGTTCTATCATTCTCATTCTCAAAAACCTACAATAATTTCCAATCAGCCAAACCTGCTATTGTGGAATTCAAGTTCTTCGTGCTGGCCCTAGGCCTGTTCTATTGCTATACCTGACACCCCTTTCCTCTATCACCATGCCCTCTACTTCCTTTCCCCCATCAAAGCAGCCTCCTTCCTGATTGCAGATAGCAACAAAATAAGAATTAAAAGCCTAGGCTCTGGAATCAGATGGTCTCAACTCTTCAACTTACTGGACAGATCTCCACAGAACAATGAATTTTTTTTTTTTAAATGGAATTGAACTCAGGACTTTATAATAAACTACATGCCCAGCCTTTTGAAAACTCTGAGACAAGGTTTAATTTTTTTAAAATTTATTTATTTATTTATTTGTGTGTGTGTGTGTGTGTGTGTGTGTGTGGCCAGCTCAGCCCACCAGGGGGCGGGACTGGCTAGCATGTGGTGCTGGGGGATTGAACCGCCATCCCTGTGCTTTGCTAAGCTTGTTCTAAGTAGGTGCTTTAGACCACTGAGCCATCTCACCAGCCCCTGAGACAAGGTTTAAGATGGGAATACTCCCATCTTCATCTTCCAGGGATTCTCTATATTCATCCAAGTTCCCATACTCAGGTGGAGATTCAAAGTTTCAGCCTATGACAATCTTTTTCCTTCTATTGAAATTTGTCCTTTTAATGACTCCAAAAAGTGACAAATTAAAAATCAAAACAGAATGCTTCATGTATTTGGGTGTCATCCTTGTGTGGAGCCCATGCTCATCTTAACACTGCTCCAATTTTAGTCTACGTACTGCTAAAGTTATAGCTTGCTCCCCCTACCCACTAGTAGGAATCAAACTCAGGGTCTCATGCATGTCAGGCGAGTACGGTTAACACTGAGTTACAATATCCAGCTCTTTCAAGATAAGTTTTTATTATTGTAGTACTTACTGAACCTTGCATGTGCCAGGCAAGTACTCTCCCACTGAGCTGTTCTCAGCCCTTTTGGAGACAGGGTCTTACCCTGTTGCTCAGGCTGACCTTAAATGTGGGATTCTCCAGCTTTAAACTTTTTTTTTTTTTGAAGGCTCTACAGGGTGTTCAGGGTCTCACTGCTAGATTGGACTCACAGTGATTTGCCTCTTTACAGCCTCCCAAGAGCGGGGATTATGGCATGCGCCACCACGCCCAGTCTCAACTGCCATCTCAGTGCACCCTGGGGGTGGGGCCAGCACAGCAGGCCCAGGGATTGAACCCCTGACCCCTGTGCCTGCTTGCAGGTGCTTTAAGCCACTGAACTATTTGGCTGGCCCCTGAGCTATTTGGCAGGCCCTCCTGTGCTATGTGGCAGACCCCTAAACTCTTGAGTAGCTGGGATTATAAGCTTCCACCACTATGCCAGTTTTTAAATGTATTTTATTTTGGTACAGGGTCTGCAGGGTCTCACTATATAGATCAGGCTTGTAGTGATTCTCCTGTTTTCAGCCTCCCAAGCACTGGAATTACAGACATGCACCACCACGCCCAGTCTCACATCAGCTCAGCTGTGCCCTGGGTGTAGGGCCAGCACAACACACAAAGATCAAACCCTGGCTGCCATGTTCTGCCTAAGCAGGCACTTTAGTCCACTGAGCTATCAGGCTGGCCCTTACGCCAGTTTCAATGTCTGGTTTTTTGTACTGGGGATTTAATCAAGGGCCTGAGCCCATACTGACCTACATCCCTAGCCCCATTTTTTTATTTTTTATTTTTGAGACAAGGTCTCCCAAAGTCACTAAACTGTTCAGGCTGGGCTTGTGATCTCCCTGTCTTCTTTCACGAATGCTGGGATTACAGACAAGCACCACCACAGCCAGCTCCAATGTCTTTTTCCCTCGGTACAGGGTTTCAATATGTAGCTCGGACTCATAGTGATCCTCTGGTCTCTGCCTCCCCAGTGCTGGAATTACAGACATGCACAACCACACCCAGTTTCAGTGGCCAGCACTGCATGTGGTACCTGAGCTAGAACCCGGGTCCTTGTGCTTGCCAGGCAAGCACTTAGAACTCTGAGCTATCTCCCTAGCCCCTACATACAGATTCTAAAGACATCAGGAACCTACGAAAGAGAGGCTGTGAATAGGCACATATAAGGGAACAAAGGGATCCAACTCTTTCATCCTTGTCAGGTGTGTTAGCACATGCCTGTTATCCCAGCACGAGATCACACTGTGAGTTCCAGGCAAGCCTGGGCTACATCAGCAAGTTCAAGGCTAGCCAGTAGCTCTACATAGCAATTATCTTCTCTCAAAAACGAAACAAGTTTTGTAACCCAAGGACCACTAGTGTCCTTCACTTATACTGCAGGACACCTGACAACTTGCACTGACATTTTTTCCCATATTTTAGGGAAGGGCCTATAAGGTGTTCAGGATCTTATTACTAGATTGGACTCCTAATGATCCTCCTGTTTACAGCATCCCAAGAATGGGGATTTAAAAAAAAAAAAAAAAAAAAAAGAGCTGGGATTACAGCTGTGCACCACCACACCCAGTCTCAATTGCCTCTCAGTGCACTCTGGGGGCGGGGCCAGAAGGCCAGGCCCAGGTATCGAACCCCCAGCCCCTGTGCCTGCTGGCTGGCACTTTAATCTGCTGAACTATTTGGCCAGCCCTTGCACTGATGCTTTGTATCTCTCTTTTAATGACCTGCTTAAAAGTTGGGGCCTAGAAGTTACATTAATTTCTAACTCCACTTATATTTCTAGCTCTAGGGAATTGGAATCACCTAACTCTCAACTCCTAGTTACATAATTTTCTTGATCAGGACCTCTCTAAGCTTTCTAGAGATTCCCTGGTAAAATGCCCAGGACTCATGCATTTATTACAAATCAACTAATGCCACGGTCACAGCATTGGGCAGAATGAGCAGTACTACTGGCACTACAAAGGTTAATAACTAATAACATTTATGAAGCAAAGGCCATGTGCCAGGCACTAGTGTTAAGCATATGACTGGTTTGTTTGTTTTGGTACCTGGAATCAACTCATGACTTTGTGCTTGTCAGGAAGGTTCTATACCCTTGAACTATGGTTCTGGCTGTTTTTTGTTTTCTTCTTTTTGAGACAGGTTCTTCCTATGTAGTTCTGGCTGGCCTTAAAAACTCTATGTAGCCCAGGCTGGACTCAAACTTGGCAATCCTCCTGACTCAGCCTCACAAATGTTGGGATTACAGGCATGTGCTACCCTGTCCAGCCTGATTGGTTTTTCTTTTTTTCGTTTTGGAGACAGGACTTGCATGCTATGTAGTATAGGCTGGCCTTGAACTTGTTATGTAGCTGAGGGTGGCCTTAAGTTCACAGTGATCCTCCTGCCTCATTCTCCCTAGTGCTGGGGTAACATGCACCACCATGCTTGGCAGAATGACTGGTTTTTAGTCCCACCTCAACCCTGTTTTAGCATTCCTCCTTTTCAGGTAAGATTTGGGAAGTGCAGTCACTTTCTCAAAATGACACAGCTAGAGAACAATGCTGAGATTTGAACCAGGTCTGCCTCTACAACGTGGGGACTTTTACTACATACAATCTTCTGTCTTCCCAACACCAATCTTCATTCTTCCCTTTTCCTAGGCTGGCTTTCCAGACCTCTAATATCTTCCACTTAATAGTCTGTTGAATCAACTACCAAGACCACAAAGCTGTACCTCAGGCCATCTCCATATCTAATGATCCTTCCAAGGTGGAACAGGCCTTCCAGATGTCAGAAAACCTTTCCTGCCCTCCCACCTCTCTCTGGCACTGAGTCATATACGTAGGGAACTAATACCCCATATCCTCTTCCCTGACTTAGTCCCTGAGGTTTCAGTTCTTCATGACAAGATATGCAGTAAATAGTATTAGGGACGAGACAGATTTATATTTCAACTGTGTCTGGATTTCTCTGTAAAAGAGATTACAGGGCTGCTGGGAAGATTTGCTGAGGCAATGTATATAAAGCATCAGACAGTGTGCCCATAATGGGCACTTGGAATACAGCTCAATGATGGCTGTTTGTCACCTTTCTCTTCCAGCAGTCAGCCCGGCCCTCTATTCCGAGCATGACACTGTCAATTGCTGTTGTTTAGGCCTTGCAGGATAGCCAGAGGCATCTGGGGCAGAAAAGAAGCCTTGTTTAGTCCTTCCCCCACCCTAGAATACTGCCAGGACCCAAGGGCTAAGGGACACAGCTTCTCCTCTGGTACTGCCAGGGGACGTGACAGAATGGCCTCAAGCATTGGGCTCAATGAAGGACCTTATTCTACTGCCCAGAAACAGGACAGTGGTTTTGGACAAATGGAGACTGACCCTGGGGAAATGTGTGTTCATGTGTCTGAGTGTTGGTGGTAGGAAGGGTGGGCCTCCCATTACTGGGAAGCATCAATGAGTCCTGGAACTGATCCAAGGAATTTGTGCAACCTCAGGCCCCTTGGGATGAGCCCAGCTAGGGCTGCAGATGACGGGTGGGGATGGAACTTCTAATTTCCTGCCCAGATCAGAAAAACCTGGCCCAGAGCTGGGGCACAGCAGGGGCTCAATGAATACCTGCACAATTAAACCCAGATGGTTCCTGGAAGACAGTAGTATCTATATGCGTATAATGTGCCCTTTCTAGGATTCTCCCAACCTTGGATCACCCTGTTCTCTAGTCTCAGGACAGAATACTGAGTAAGAGTACAAACAACAGGCAAACTTTCTGGGTTCA